GTAGCTGTACACGTATGCCTCCGCAAAACACGTTGGCAGAAGGGAAACAGCAGATCCAAAAATTACAGGCATCCTTGATGTGATGCATACGGCAATAACGACGAAAGCCGTTCTATACAGTCGACCTCACTCACCGCAACAAGATCGCGTTCGCATTCAAATACACAATGAATTTAAGAGCAGCCCATAACGAAGGAATTCGATTACACGTTCTTCTCACATCACCGTGAACTATTCAACAGCTGCGCAAAATTAAAAGCACGTGCAATTGAATTCGCACTGTGTTTTTATGAACATTTTCATGACTGTTTCAAGGGGGTCGTGAGAAAGCTCCATGTGCGATCTTAAATGTTAATGTTGAGGCGATAGGCCTGACAGCTTAAGTTTTTGATCCCCAGTGAATCGCTCATAACAGAAATATCTAGGCACATTAACCAATCCGAAAACAGCTTGTCAAAAAAACTTTCAGAGCACCTTAATTCAATAACAATTCACCAGTGCAGCTTATACAAAAGATCGTTTATCTGAAATGCATTCGATTACGCTTTATAGACCTTTTATTGAAACACTAACAAAAAAAACAGTATTTCAGTTTGTGGCGAAATTCTACAAAAAAGTTAATATACCAATTTCTTCCAGGATAAAACTTTGATTTCTGCAGCATGCAACAACAACAAAAAACAATGATAGCTTGAGTTCAGGATTATTGTGTCAAAACGACGGCATCAGTATACGTGCGTCAGCTTGACGTCACTGATTTCGAAGCGTTTTGCCCGCTTCACGTTTCATCGGTAGTAACTAGTAAATATTCACTGAAACTGCCAAAGTTTAGCACTTCGATTCCTTCAAAACACAGTGCTGTTGATGCTCGCCAATAGATGGCACAGCCATACATGCCCGGCCAGGCACCAACAAATTTAAGGACGTCCCGGCAAGAGAGTGTGCACGCAAGTTTTAAGGCAGCATCATCTTTTTTTTCTTTTATTCGCGTGCTTTCTTATCAAACACAACCTCGCCGGCATTGTGATTTTCGTGTGTCTATGTGTTGGCAATGTACAAAATGGTTTACAAATAAAACTTTAGTTGTCGTCTTCAGTGCAATTACAAAGTGAGCCTGCAAAATTCACCGATAATAAGCACCTTATTTCTCATATACAGATGCTTGCGCTCGCATGTGATGCAATCTCCATGCTGCAACGAAGGTCCGAGTACACAATCCGCTCAAAACTCTGCACGTCGTCTTTGTGTCAGTTCGATATCACAAACTAAAGGATGCTGTCACAGAACTTAAGTACTATATACGCGAACGTTTTTACTGGGGTTTCGTTTGACAGCATTGTTCTTATCGAATATTTCCCAGCATATACAATAAAAATACAAATAAAAGGTACAAATAAAAGGTTCGAGCACTCTTGTGTATGTTTGTACGTTGTTTTCTATTTTCTTGCAATACTAAAAACAGCTTGTTGACCGATACCTATAGGAAAATACTTTACACTGTTCAAACGCATAACATTGACAAACGTCACCACGTTCCAGTGCACTATATGTGTGTCAAAATTTAAGGCTTGAACGAAGACCGCAATCTTGGCTTTGGACGTGATAGCGAAGACGTGATAGCGTGATGGACGTGATAGCGTGATGGCTTTGGGAGTGATAGCGAAGAGTTAGTGTGCAACAAAACTTTGGGTTATTGCCTCGTGAAGTTTAGCATTGATATATCATATTCTTATAGCCTGTAAACAATGTCGAAAGAAGTTATTCGCGCTCAGTTAAAATAGAAAAAGAAACGGAATGTTAATGTCATTAGGTCCCATTGAGCCTGCCTCCTTTCTGCAAAGAGCACACGCCACAACATCAAACATTCTTTCACCGGCGATTGATGTTGGAGAAAGGAATATGAACTTGTTGCTTTGGGATCGTAATGTGCAGTGCGGCGGTGCACGGATGACTTTTTTTTTTTTTTTGCAGCGTGTACAGCGTTAACTCCGTTTCCACGCATGGGGTCAAATATGCAACGTTCGACGAGCCTCGAGGTTTTGAAGTGTTTGTGAATTTAACTATAAAGGCTATATAAGTAGATTCTGTTTAATCCTGAAGGTAGCTACATCCCTCTCAAGTTAGTCGGAGGTTCCTGCTAATTGGCTGCCGCATTTTATTTACCTCGAAGTCACCTTGTGTTTGAAATTTTCGGTGCTTGCTGAAAATCGACGCTATTGTTCCATCCTCCAATTTGTCTGACGATTTCGGCAAACGATAGAACGTTTCTTGACATCATATAAAAATGGGGTACGGTTTTTTCTGTATACGAGTTAGGTGCGCAAAGGCCATTCATGTCCCTTGCCTGCCACTGTGACATATACGCCGCTTATCAAATACCTTATATACCATGGACATATCCCTCCACGTGACACTTCGCTTTATATGACCTCACACTTGTTCAGCCCTGGAATTCGCAACAGTGTTGAGGCCAGCGCGTTGTTTACAAACCTTTGCGGATATATATTGCCCGATGGTGTTTGCGTCAAACGCGACGAAAACCGCGTACATTCCGTGAATGTATACCACAGACCAATCAATCTTGCCGACGATCAGTTCCTGTCAACATTTTCCCCATAAATTACGTATTAGATTTCTGACCGTCTGATTGTATCATATCGTACCTTCTTGAAAAGGTTCCCGATTCCGTGTTCACGGTGACGTACATTGATGAAACATGAAATGTGAGCTTGTCAATAACTGTACTTTGATAATAGTTGTTCGTCGCGATTTGCATAGAAGAATCTGTGGCACATTTCCGCAAAATGTTGCTAAATGTTATAGATATTCGTTGTGCCTGCAAGAACAGAAAATGTACAACTTTGCGTGCATTCCATGCACATGTGCACTGCGGCGAGCGCGACGAAATGCATGAAGAAATGAGACAACATAATTGTTTCTCAAGCAACGTTCATGGACACGTGAATCCTTTTTTTTTTAATATCGCTTTTTACAAACTCTTCTACAGCATATAAACATGACATCAACAGCTCGAAGCGTGCCTATTTTGCTCCGTACTCCATCATGGGTTTCTATCGATCCAATTGACTAGCGATGCCAACCACAGCCTTGCACTGCATGTGTAACATTGCATTTGTGTAGACAAGAAACACAATATGTGACATTTCAACAGAAACGAGTCAACGGAAGTTTGGCCACCGATAGCCGCACCGATAAAGCAGGAAGCAAAAGACTCGCTAATTATACCGTGTGCCGAGGTTATCGTTTTTTTTTTGTCTTATTGTTGTTGATGTGGTCTGCAGGGCCATAACTGTTTAGAGTTATTTTCTCTAAAACAATTGCACGTACGCTGTGCTCTTTTTTTTTTTCGGCTTAAAATCATTGTTATCAGTTGCCCGTAAGCTGTTGTGTTTCTGAACACGAAGCCAAAAAGCATGGTCATTTGAGAAGATAAATCAACGTTAATATAGATGGCACCAGACAGTGGCAGCCAGTTAACTGTGTACGCAGAATACCTTTCTTGCATGACACATCACAATAGACTCTGCATTCTGACACCAGAACGTGTTTGCACACTCTAGGTGCATCGATAAAGATAATCACATAGATTAGTTTATCTCCAGGTGTATACGCTGAACACGCGTCCATGTTTTTCGACACATTTAATCACCGAAATAACGTGGGTAATTTAGCAGAAGATAAAAATACTAAGGGACGAGCAAATAGGCCCGATAACGCGGTTATCAAAGAGCAAAGAAGCTACGTTTGCGCGGCTTCCGTTTGTGGTCCATTGTGCGCATGCAGTGAGTGAGTGCGTACGTCCCGATTCGAAAGCTGTCGTTGGACTCAGCTGCAGTAGGTATTATTCATGATCAATCTGCTTGGGTGTGGCCCTGAGTATAGAGCCCTTAATTGTGACGCACTGTGCGGTCATCATTTCACATTCAACCTTACACCGCAATAAAGTGAACGATGTATGAGCTTGAAGGATAGCAATATCTTTTGTTTTGTTGGTGCGCGCGCATGTGGCCTTATTGCGTCTGCACGAACAAAAATTTCACGTCAACAACACAAGCCACGCATGTATGCTGAAAAGATCGGCGTACGCCGACAACAACGATACGGATGTTTTAATCACACTGTTTATGCAGGTGCAAATAACTGTTCCATTCAGCATTGCTCCAAAACTTTAACCTTTGACTGTATGATAAACGTGAAATGGGGAGACAAATTTGCAGAATCAATGTGCTTCTAAAAACTGAGAGTTTATGGAGGCCCACATTTTTACTCCGTCATACCGCTGGCACGTATGCCAATAGTATCAAGCAAAATAGGTTGTATGTTCGAAAAGTTGCAAGTTGTAACGCTAACACGATGCTGAAATATGGTGTAAAAATAGTGCAATGGGTGCCCTAGGATGAGATCAAGGATGTGAGAACTTTTTACCACCGGGAGTTGAATTGGCACGAGAGACAACGTTAAGGCGTGCTCATATAGGCCTCGTTAAAACATTATAGGTAAAACTTCATAGTACGGACCGTTTTTAACAGCAGCCACTTTTGACAGGAAGAAAGCAACTTGACGGTATACACAAAGAATAAAAAGCAACGCTCGAATTTAGAAGAGCACAGCACATGCCCAACACATGCACTATCCTACATAGAGGTGCGAGAACTGGGGAAGGCATCGCTATTATACACAGCATACTTTTTTTTTTCCTGTCCGGTGTGCAGTGCGGGAACAGAAAGCAATGTATGTTCTTCCTGCGGTGCGCGAACACTACACCCAGCACAATAAACCTCAGCGGGGGGAGTTCGCGAATCTTCAGATTCGGGAGGAAGGCGGTGTCACCATATCTTATAGAGCGGCCGTTGACGAGGAGCTCTTGCGGAGAGGTAGGTCTACTGTATACGGCGTATAGGTGCATGCACCTTCTTTTTTAAAACGGCCGAGGAGAGTCCACATTCCTGCCAGGAGCAAACGGAGGAGGACAAGAACGGAACGGCGGGGGTGTCAAGCGGTCGCCCGCAGAGTGCATGGCCTCTCTCTATACGGCGTGCTTGTATCTTCGCGCTTTTCTCTTCTATTGTCGCGTCTGGATGACACACACGCAGTGCATGCCCGTTCAGGAGCTTGTTCTTCTCTTGACTTTAAGGGCACTGCAGTTTTCTCTCTCTCTCTCTTGCTCTCTTTTTTCAGAAGAGGGAAAACGATTGGGCACGCACCTGCAAAAAGTAGACGGCGTTGCTCGACGGGAGGCGCTGAGCGTGCGTTGCGCAGCTCTTCGACGGAAAAACCGAGGCAGTGTTGTCTCCTGCGGCGTCTCCACTCGCTTCGGGACATGCACGTGCAACCGGGAGCATCATCTCGCCAGAGAGGTTCCTCCTTCTTCTTCGCCTTTTCTATCGCGTTATGGCTGTTGACTTTCTTTTCCGGAGCAAGACGGCACCACGCTGTCTGAGAGGATCGAGGAATCCCCCAGGAGTGGGTGAGCGAGCAATTTTTGGCGAACAGTGGCCCGCTTGAAGAACTGCTTGCTTGCCATGCGTGCTCGAACATGGGCCGTCGCGTGCCCCGTAAAACGAGTCGAAAATGAAAGCCCGCATTGTGTCGTTACGCTTTCGTTTCATCGCGGGGGCCTAGATCGTTTTTCGGTGGGCGAAAGAGAGAAGCTGTTTCGGGAGTAAAGAGACAGTCTTTGTTGAAACTCGGTTGCCTACCGTTCTTCCTTGCCTCTTCCAGATGCAGGCTGTTGCAGTAGAAAACCCGTAGATTGGCTTATGCAGAGAATGAGCTCCACGTGCATTTGCAGCAGTCGCGTGTGAGAGTGATGTCGATGGGTGGGAAGATGCTTCTGTTGAACGTGGTGCCGGTTGGGAACATGCCATACACGCCAAAGATCTGCCTATTTAGAGTCTACAGTAGTTTGCTACCAGGCGAGGTGAATGAGGTTATCTCGAAGACGTGCCGATGCGAGTCTTCACCGTGAGTAACATATAACTTGAGAAAGGTCTTTCCCATTTCTTCTAAACAAAGCCCGAGTCAGCTTCTTGAGAATTATCAGAAATAAGGAACTATATCAAAGAACAGCCGGCTCGCGGTATAGCTTCCCGTTTCGCCTGTGAGTTCTTCATTGCTTCTTCTATTCTTCCAACGTTCAATTCATTCAGCCATCTGTACATTTATACAAAGCACCCAGTGCTCAAGTCAGGACGCCAGAGAGGAAATATTTACACGCACACGTTCGCACAGACACACACATACACACATCCATGCCACCTGATGCTGCACTTGTCACAATGGTACAGTCGTCTCGCGCCTTATAAATAATGTCTGTGGGCGGCCACGTCGGCTGAGCGTAGCACGGGAACCAGGGTTCGTAGGAAGGGAATGCAAACGTCACTAACAAGGGTCGTTCGCCGTGTCGTCCGAGACCACGTCTAACGACCTGCAAGATACATCACTAGACGCCGAGTCGGGTCTTGGAGGCGGTGGCACCTTCGTGGTCGTGACCGCTGCCGTCGTCATCTGGGACGTCATGTGAGCTGCGCTGGCCGTCAGCAGAGACTGCTCGGCAGTGAGACCCGGGAATTGAAACGCTGGCAGAAGTGCGGGTGGCTTGAGTGGCAGAGATGGAAGCGAGAACGGCACCCCGGCTCCCGGTGGCACGGGCACGACGCCGGCGAGAGGGTAGTGACCGGGCGGCACCTTCGCCCCGCACAGAAGGCCGTTGAGGTCTTGCCGGCTGGCGGCCGCCGCTGCCACAAGGCTAGAGTACGTCGAGTGCCAGGACGCCTGGGTCGCGTAAGGTAGAGAGCACGGAAACGGTGGGAGGGACCTCAGGTGAGACGGCGCGTGCGGAGACGTCGTGTACGGAGGACTCGCCGGCAGCACGCCGCTGAAGTTCTTGCCATCGGGAGCGATGATGTTCTCGATTGAGAACGGCTGCTTGGTGTAGTTGGGCAGCACTGTTCCGTGCCTCAAGGCGTCGGCGTGGTGTCCCTGCAGATGACTCGGCGCTGCCGCCAGCGCCGTGAGTCTCATCTTCGCCTGTTCTTGGATGGCATTCTGCGACACTGTCTCGTAATGTTTCAGCTCGGCCAGCGCAACAGCCGTGGCGTCCTTGATCTGGCGGGGCAGCTTGAAACGCTTGCGACGCCGCAAGAAAGAACCATTCTCGAACATGTCGCCGCAGGCCGGATGCAGAGCCCAGTAACTGCCCTTGCCAGGCCGGTCGGGCCTGCGTGGGATCTTGATGAAGCAGTCGTTGAACGAGAGGTTGTGCCTGAGCGAGTTCTGCCAGCGCTGCGTGTTCTTGCGGTAGTAGGGAAAGCGGTCCATGATGAACTTGTAGATGTCGCTGAGCGTGAGCATCTTCTCCTGCGAGCTCTGGATGGCCATGAAGGTGAGGGAGATGTAGGAGTATGGCGGCTTCTGGTCTCCGTACGTCGACCGGCCGGGCCTCGGCATGGTTGCCGAAGCGCCAGCGCTGCTGCCGCGTTGCTTGGGAGTCACAGCCGTGGTGGTTGGAGTCGTGGCGGAGGTCTCTTGTGGCTGAGTCGGGCGCAGGAACGTGCTTGCCCAGCGCCGCCGACCGGTCTCTCCCGCTGCGTGCACTTCGCGACGACTGAGCAGCAGTTTTCCCGGACCGGCCACGCCGCTCCGGCGAAGTGGAGGTGAGCCGTAGGGCGGAGCTCTCGCCAGTCTCCGCCTCAAATGAACTAGTCGACCGCCCCGCCGTGACGTCACGCAACGGCGCCTTTAATGTTTGAGGAGGGGTTTGTTGATTTAAGGTTCAGCCAATGAGAGGGTTTGGAAGAAACGAGAAAGGTGGGACTTTTCGGGGGAAGGCGTGGCTGCCCTTGTCAACGACCGAAGTACGCCGGAGCGCCGAGCCACGGCTTGTCCGAGCGGATTGGCGGCTGTTTCCTGAGGTGTGCGCTTCGGCTTAGGCCTCTTCTTACTCTTCTTCCTCTGATCTTGCCGCGCGCTCATCTCGGCCGGTCAGTAAACCGGCGTCGCGTTCCGAAAGCCGCGCTAGCACGGCAGCGCTCGGCAGTTTCTCGAAACAGTGAGGGGCCGAGTGATTGCGCGCAGCACGATAACAGCTGTGCGCGGGGACTGCGTCCAGTGTGGCACGCATAATAAAAAAAAACGAAAACATTTTCGAAACTTCTTTTCGCAGGTGCGAAGTAAGTAGCTATCTCGCAACCACTTCATTTTCCATTTCTTTTTTCGGAATCCATTTGTCAACTTCATAATTCAGACAATTGAGTCAGGCGCGAATCGAAGCTCTCAAGCAAAGCTTTCACGATAAAAAAAAAAATGAGGGGCCACGTCGCACTTGCGAGAAACAACGACTTCAGCCTAATAATGGTAATAATAAGAAATTGCAATTATAGTAATAAAGAAATAAATAACCAATAATAATTCTGATTACACGTACTATACAGCCGTCACTATATCTATGATGACGTATTCTGCTAGAAATACGCGTCCTAGTACAAAATGTCACGAATTATCTGCAACCAAAAAAATGTTACTATGAAAACGCTATAGCTGTTGTGCTTATAATATGACCGATCAGTCCCATTTGCATTACACCATGCTATCATTCGAGGTGTGTCAGAATTACATAGGCCCATATATATAGAAAGATATGTCTACCCACATACCCCTATCACCACCAAACTGAAGTATGATACATTAGAATAGAACAAATATTGAGAAATGAGAGTATAGCCTGTTGATTGCTAGTATCTTTTTTGCATGCACTTGACGCAATATGGATGGCTTATCTGTGAACACTGTACAACAGACTGTTTGAAGGGGCATTTTTTTCATGGTATCATCATGCACAATATTTATATTTTAAATGTTGAGAGCACAGCGGAACATGCATGCATGGTATGACCATTCTCGATCAGAATATATTCATTTCGTTTATTTACTTTTCCCAGTTTGCAATTCCTTGTTTTTTCTTGGAGGTCGTAAAGACACATGAACTGTAAACAGACGAACATTCTTGCAAGTTTAGCTGATCCCGTATTTTTAATTGGTTAGTAAAACACGCAAGTACAGAAGATTTCCTTCTTTAACAGCACAGTCTTGGTCAAAGGTGTTACCAGCGCATGTGAGTTAACGAGGTTTTGGCATCACGCCTATATGCCATCACCGTACAATTTCTTCTCGCATATACACACAGCAACGATTTGCTATTGGAGTTTATTTAAATATAACTGCTCACATGTGTACTGTGCTTGTTTATTGCTACATTACACATGTTCCCGCTTTCTGCGCTGGTGTGAAAAAAATCTGAAGCAAAAATAGAGGCAAATGAATTATATACGTTTTTTATCATATATATGGGGTAAATTCCCCATATAAGGATCTACTTGATGTTATATATGGTGTGGCTTTGCCTTGTATGACTGCATTTGACTCTTTATATGGACCAACTATGCTATATATGGCTGTATTTGACTCCATATATAAAGCGACCGCCGTATATAGCCAAATGCACATCTATATATGGTAAACGGAAGCTATACATGATGACCTAATCACTTATAGGTGACTACATAAAATTCATATAACTGCCATATACTTCCGTGAAGTAAAGAATGAATGAATAAATTCACTTTATTTAAAATAAAGTCCCCAAGTCCGGCAGTTTTCTTCGGGCAAGGCGGGCAAAACAGATCCGAACTCATTAGGACACCTTGTGTGGGCAGTGATGTAAGAAGGTGCCAACTGACGATTTGGACTGGTGTGCTCACTTTGTACGTCCGCATTGTCTGTATATAGGCCTACCCATTGGATCACCTTTTTTTTTACAAATCTGTATTTTTACAAATCCGAGTATCCCTGCTTATTTTTTTAACAGAGTGAAATTGGCGAATATGAAGGCGGACACGAAGACGATAAGGAAAAAGACAAGATGCGCTCATAATAATGACATTGATATAGCACCTGCCCATTTCTGCCTGTCCATCTTCATTCGTGCTAATTTCGCTTTGTTGAAATGCGAAACTAACTAGCGCAGCCCTATGTCCTAGAGAGAAGTTTATTCCTGCTCACGTTAAAGCGATAGCCTTAAAATGCATCATTGAATACGAATATTGACCACCGTTTCACGTCGGCGGTGTCAACACGAGTGATGCAAAAAATATGACCATGTGATGACGTTACCATGAAGTAACAAATCACCAAAATTGTGACGTCCTCTAACGTGATGTCATCACACCTGATATCACTGAGTGGACAAAACTGACGCACACAATTCTTACAGAATTCTTTCTGGGTGAGAGGAATTATAAAGCCATGGATGTCACTTGCAGAAAGCTTTCGTAGGGTGCACGGGAGGTTTAATACAATGACATAAGAGAGCAATTATGATAATATTAATAATAGTAATAAGATAGTAATAATAATAATAATAATAATAATAATAATAATAATAATAATTGTTCTTGTTGTGATTTAATGTCCCAGAACCGCGATATGATTATACGAGGGACGCAGCAGTCGAGGGCACCGGAAATTACGACCAGCTGGTGTACTCGTATAAACTTAGGCATATGGACCTCAAATATGTTCACCTTGATCATAAGCGCGGCCGCACCGCCGGTATTCGATCCCGCGACCTCCTGTTCCACGGTGGAGCACCATATCGACCAGACCACCGTGGGGACTATATACTTGTAAGACGATGCATGGCTTTCGACTTCGAGTCCGCTGAGACGAATGCATAACCCTGCGTGTGAGTTTCTGCACGAAGTGTTCGTTTTCATGTTTCATGTTTGTTCAACAACATGGCCCATCCTTCGGTAATTGGCAAACTCCAAAAGTTAAAAAATGAATAAATAAATAAATTCACTTTTGCAGCATAACTATAGTTCCACGTATGAACCATTCTAATCACGTACAGCTCCAGTCAGGCTATTTTGAGCTGTTCAGTTGCCGATTTTAATGCTCCGGTAAATAAAGACATCAAAGAAGCATGATTTCGCTCTATATAGAGCACCAAATACTATTGAAAATGTCAAGACAGCCATAATAATATAGCAGATGCATTTTCCGCACGATAAGTCCAGATAATTGAGAGCGCTATCAGGTTTGATCTCAGTGTTGTGCAATGTCAATGTGTCAGCCATGCGAAATATCATTATTGTGAAAAGGGCAAATGTTGCGCCAGTCTGAACCACACGCACTCGTTTACTTATGACGATGATATATATATATATATATATATATATATATATATATATATATATATATATATATATATATATATATAGATATATATATATATATATATATATATATATATATATTCACTAACAGTAATCTTCACCACCAGCGGTATGCGTCTTGCGTGGTGTCCGTCTTACGTTATATGGTAACTTTTTCAATAAAGTATTCGTGTGTGAGGGTTTACACTATTGACCAAACCAAAATGGAGCGTCGGCAAAGATATATTTTCACTGAAAACAGCACTGACATCTTTCTTCTTGTTTTACGGGTAAATGAAAAGCCAATACCTCAAGGGCTTAGAAAATGTCCGGCTGATATGAGCACGAGTGCATGCCCCAGGCAGAAAAAGTAATTACAGTATGTTTTCTGAAGCTATATATGCACTATTTATCCCGTCCTTCATGGGTATAAAGTGCTAGACATAAAGCAAGGAAAATATAGACATTTTTTTTGGTTTCCCGGTTATACCAAGCTACTGGCCTGCAGATTCAGAGTGTATACAGTTTGGTGAGCGAGGGCGTCCACTGGAGAGGTGAGCGCTGCAATCGCTGTGGACGTAGTAAACAACATCACGTGACTCACCTATGCCGTCGTCAGTGCAGAACGCTTGCTTTCAACCCCGAGTCAGTTCATTTTTGATCTTCCAGAGAGAGAGAACATAAGGAGAAAGGCAGGGAGGTTAACCAGGGCTGAGCCCCGTTAGGCTACCCTGCACTGGGTAAGGGAAGAGGGGGAAGGAAAGTTATAGAGAAGGAGAAAAAAGGTCACTGACTGGGCCGACGCGTAACAGTTTCACATCACAAACTATGAAACAGACCGGTGTCCTTGAGAAAACGCAACAGTGCTTTCGTTGCCTTCCAGGTTTGCTTATACGCTTGTTGCCACAGTACCGGACGCATTCAAGTGAACCTTATTGTGAATGAGCCCTTCCCAAACGTTGCGGTCGCGATACACTTGACTGATAAAATTGCAATGGCGAAATAACTCAGTATTCATCTTCGAGTCTGCAGCTCAATCAGTAACCACCTTTTTTTGTGTGTGTGGCGTATACGTGCATCCGCAAATATTTTGCGTCTGGAATGAGAGATAAAATTTCGAGTATGCAACGGTGTACTTCACGGATCTGTAACAGAGGAGTTCGTTGCATTTATTTGCCCAGGCAAGAAAAAAAAAACGATTCCCGAAGTGTGGAATCCCAGTGACCATTCGTTCGGCCCTTATATGGTTAAATGAATGTATGGTGAGTTATCTATACTTCTCGTCGTGATGCGAGTTTTCGTTCATACGCTAAAATAAAACAAAAGCATCGTGC